AAGAGATAGGCAGGTTTTTTTATTGGTAGATAAAGAACGACAAAGCGAAAAAAATAAGAAAGGGGGGGGGGGGAGAGGGTCAGCATGGCTATTAATTGGGCCTTTAAAAGTTCAGAAAAGATAGAAGAGATCTCTTCGTCAATTTTTTAGGACGGCTCCTAAAAAGTACAGCTCCTGTTTTTTTCCTATTAATTGTTAAATTTGAAAATTTTGGCCACCAAATCCTACATGCCAATAAAATCCATCTAAGACCACATTTACCAGGCCATTCCATGCAGTTGAATAAATCTAAGAATAAGGAATCTATTCATTTGCTTTATTGAAAATGCTAGGGTTGCATCTTTCCATGCAACTGTTGTAGCAAAATTAAAGCTGCAATAAATTTGAGGAGGTAAATGTTTTAAGTTTTTTTCTTTTTTTACTAAGTGACATTTGAGACCATCATCAAGGATAATGCAAAGCATCTTAGTAAACCAAAAGGGATGCTAGCAGAGTATTGATGGAAATGGGTTATCTTCTCTCCATATTGTCCATCAGAGACCATGATATCCGATACACCATCTTCTTCTGCCCATCCCTTAAAAAGTTGTCTAAATATATTGCTTGCTTTTCTGTTGAAACAGACAACAGGCAAAATTTTTCATCCCTGCATCCATTGAAGAAAAGCCATACCTGCAGAATCTGTGCAATTGCTATCAAAGGTATAAGGAGCTTCATTTCAAACAGAAAATGCTTTGATTCACATCCGCATAGAATTTCTTTCTAATCCAGAAAATTAACCCATTTATTTGGGATAGGAATCCTATTCAGTGGATTAGGAGATATTAATTTCTGTCTATGTATGTGCAGGTGCTGAAGAAGAGTGCATTTAATGACTCAGTGGTCCAAAGAAGGTCCCACATTAATTTTATAATGATGGGACAAAACCATTTTTGCCTCTTCAATATAATTTTGTTATATTCATTAACTATAATATGGCATACCACTATGTCTCTGGCATTCAGAAATGGGAATATGGAGTTTCTTTTTCCTTGTTTGATAATGGACTACAAACTGTCCTCTCAGTTCTTTCCCTTACGGTCTAGATAGATACTTCACTTCACAACTACAGTTAGAACTGGAGTCTTGTAAGATGGAGATTATTTGGAAAGAGAAGAGACTATGTCTATCCTGTGAATGTGAACATGTATATCCATGCATATCAGTAATCAGGAGAAAAAAGCAATGCCAAGACATAAATAAATATATATATATATTACAGAAAAAATGAATTGAAAGATTCTTAAGATCAATCAAAAGGGACAGGAAATGTCCAATTTTCAATCTCCATTGCTCCAAATACTTAACAAGCTAGCAAAACAAATGAACAGTAATATTGCTCTGGCTACTATCTTGAAAAAAGGCAAGAAAAATGATGGCATGTGATTTACCAATTGGCATGTTTGGATTGGCACTTTAGACATTGTTATCTGAAGTGAGAAATAGATTTAAATTTGACACAATTTAAAAGAATGAACATTAAAAAGAAGTAACAGGGACCTTAAATCAAAAAATAAGATGCAAAACTGAGAGTGTGTTAGAAAAGGGAAGGTGAGAGCACATTAGCCAAGAACTGTAACTTCTTTTGAAAGATCAACAGATTTGTCTATAGGATTAATGAACTGAAAACTGTCAAGAATCTGTAATCTGGAAGTTTGTTATGAGCCATGGTTATAATTCTTTCCAAGTTTGAGGCAAGTTAAATATGACTTGTCTCTGTGTCAGTTCACCATCATGCCAGCCAGCCTTCCCTAAAATTGTGCCCTATTTTTCTAAACCAGAGATTGGGAACCTTGATTCTATGGGACCGATGCAGCCTGGGAGATCTTCTCACCAAATCCACCAAATGTTGACTAGATTCCTTTCTTCATAGTGCTCCCCCAAGACCACAGTTGTACAGGAACAAAAGGAAAATCCTTTTCTCCATGCAGATAGCCAGGAAACAATCTAGCCCTAAGGACAGTTTGCCTCTCTACTTTAAACTGTAACCATGTGAAGAAAGGGATGGGGTGTTCAGTAACACTAGAGTTTGAAACATCATTGACCTTCTATTTTTGTGAATGCTTAGCAGATAATCCAGTACAGAAAAGGATTTAGAAAATGGTCTTCTTAAGCATCTTGGTTCATTCCATGGAGTTTGGAATGATTTGGAACTCCATTTTCTCTGGCAGCAGGAAAAGCACCAGGTGATGCAAGATCCCACTAAAAGGCTTGTGTAGACAGCAGGATCAATAGTTACTGTTATTAATCTCTTCCTCTTCCTCCTTCTCTTCCCCAACCTTTCATAACTGAGTTCAAGGTGGTGAACATTGATATTATTCTTATAACTCTGTGAACCCCATAGGCAATTATAGCCCCAAATCACTCAATAAATGATGACCATGGATGGGGGGACTTGAATCTGGGTCTCCTAGATGACAGGCCCACAACTTACTCACTACACCAAGAGGCCTCTCTCTCTGATTTCTTTTTCCTGCAGCTCTTCAGAAAATTATAATGTGGAAAAATGGAGTTCATGGGGACTTCCCTAATTTCACAAAAGTTATAAACTTTGAGGCTACTTAGTGAAAACAAATTTTCCCAAGGAAAATTTAGGAACTGACAATGCCAAAATGAGGGGAGAGGAGAAGAAGTACACCCATCACTAAGATTTTGCCGATCTGTTTGAGCTCTATGAAACAGCAGACTGATCCCAAACAGTTTGCCAATTTTTATTGCTGGAATTAATATCTGACTCCTTTTATGTTGTGGAAATATGAAAGTAGAACGTTTAGGCAGTAGTGTTCATGGGATGTGTGTGTGAAAAATTCAAGATGGTGGGCATGGCAGCATGAACAAAGACCCTCCTCTTTGTATGTGTAATATTGACACACATACTTTATAAAGGGAGGATCACAGAGTCCCAACTGCCTTTTGGACTAGTTTGGGAATGTTAAACACAATTATGATTCCTAATGTTTATGTTTGAAAATTTCAACTGAACATTTATTTACATTATTGAGATACGGACTGACTGTTCATCGCCTCTCAATAAATCCATTAATTCTGATAGTAATTGTTTTGTAAGTGTTTTATAGTGCTACCAAGCTTCCTTTAGGATTGATTTCCTAGCTCTCTTTCCATTTAGATTTGCTGATTACAAAGCAAGACTAAAAGCAAAGGAACAGATAAGGGCATTTAGAATAATTTACTTTATAGCCCGCTATAACATTCTGCTGTCTATGTTAACTCTATAACCTTTCTCCATTTTAAATTGGAAGCCCATGACTGATGATAGGCTATAATTTGCATATA